ACAAGACCTCACTGGAAGCTACCTGGTGGTTACGTTGAACCAGGTAATACAAACAGTACTTTTTAAAATAGTGATAGAAAAAGAGTGTTTATCAATACAATTTGCATCACTTGAGTTTTATAATATAATGTGATTGTAATTTATAGACACAGATATCCACATGCATACCCGTGCCCACTCCCACACAAAATACAGTTCCCACTCTCACTCTCAACCCCCACCTTCACCCCAGGCCCACCCTACCCCCTTTCCAACTCCCATTCATACACCCCACCTCAACCCCTCTCACACCTACATTAATATTTGCTCAAGCTTTATATGTACACTCATGAAAAAAAATCATACTTTGTGTTGACACTGAAAGAGACCGAAAAGCTAACAAGGTCTCAATGATCACAGGTGAGGACTTGAGCACAGCTGCCATCAGGGAAGTTAAAGAAGAGACTGGAATAGAAGCCGACTTCATGTCTTTGGTGTCCTTCCGCCATGTGCATGGTGCCAACTTCAACTGTTCCGATATCTATTTCATTGTCCATATGCGTCCGAAAAGTAAAAATATTACAATGTGTGAGAGAGAATTGGCAGCATGTGAATGGATGAAGGTATTTTTTAATTCATTTTCTTTTTTTAGCTTGTTATGAAACTGGAATTACTTCTGATATAGATGGTTTACAATAACTTTGAAGATATTTACTATAAGATAAGATGTAATTTTTTCATTGTGTTTCAGCTGGAGGAGTATATCAACCATCCATATGTCCATGAAACAAATAGGTTCTTTGCGGAGCGTTTCCTAGAATGCCGCAAAAATGGAATTCAGATTGAGGCCAGCAACATCTTCAGTGGAGCTTTTAAGAAGAACCAGGTTATTTATAGTATCAATTTCCAAAATGCTCAGTCATCAGATGGAAAGAATGACCAGGAAAACACAAGCTGTTCAGATGTGGTTAATGGTGGTCCAAAGATATAGTTTGCGAGAAATTTCAGCATGATTTTTATGATTTTTATCGAAGTTTATGAAATGTTGTATTTAATGTACCTTATTCTGTTATTATTTTATTTATGGTTTTATGATATTTATTATTTTTCAATAAATTTCTATATCCACAAGGTTTTCTATATTATATGTTGATATGTACATAAAATTTTCAGATTTAAAAACATGAGTGCATAGGACAATATGTACTTTTTTAGTGAAAATTGATTTGTTTTTATATTCCCTCATGATCATTACATTAATTTTAATCCATTTCTATTTAGACTGAATGTGCCTCATCAAAGGTAATGAACCGTCAATGAATGGTATTAGTGACTGGTGCTTACGTCCTTCTGCAATCTGACATTACACTGGTTGTACATACACTGTTTTTTATTTGAAAAATAGATTGCATGTTTTATTTAGTTACTTAGAAATGACACTGGTATGTTGTAGAGATTGATGGATGGTTTAAGATTGTTAATAAGTGAACTGACAATAATATCTTTGAGATGCACATATTGCAGAAATAATTTGTTACACTCATGTTGGTGATGCATGAAAACGTTTATAGTTTGTGCATATGTGTATTTGTGTGCCCATGTGTCTCTGTGTGTGTATGTGTGCATGTACGCATGCATTGGTGTATGTGTTTGTGAGAGAAACAAAGAGACCGAGTGAGAGTGACACCATGTGTTTGGACATACATGACTTTGTGCCATCAACTTAACTACCTAAATTATGCACAAATATAGGAAAAATATTACTGTATATATGAAGCGACATCAGTTCATTTAATTTATTTGATAATTCATGTATCAGTAATTGTATTGACAGTCAGAATATTCGTGAATAATGTCTGTGTTATGTATATACTGAAGTATATTTTTAGTATATGACTTATGGGGCAAATGTGTAAAATTGTATAAATATTTATGAATGTAAAAATGTTTGTGCAGCAACCAAGTAGTTTTCAATCTCTTTGTTATTTAATGAATGAAAAATAATCTTTAAAAATTATGATTTTCATTCTCATAATTTTTCAGTGAATTACAAAAGTAAACAGTATATATTGTGTATGATTAAAGCTACATGTACAATAAGAGAGTTATATTCATTGATATATCCCTTTATATTTCTATAAGTGAATAAGCCTGGACTGAGTTACAAGTGCCCAATAGACTGCCAATTCCACAGTTAGAAGCATTCAATTATGTCACATGCTTAAATGTTATATACTGTAGACTAGGATGCATAGTTGTCAGAATCTCATAACATCTCTGACTGCAAACCGGAATGTAATGCTAAACATGTATAAGCAGCTGATGTTGAAGATGTTTCTGTTACTATTCTGGAAATGTTTTCTCTCTTTCAGCAGAAAGTCCTCTTCATTTCTAGCCATGTGATTACTATGTCACTTTAAAAGACAGCACATTTTTTATGGGAAGATGGGTGCCTCAACTGTGTATTTGTGCATTTGTATTAGCATGTGTTTCTGTACATACATGTGTCCATGCATCTTAT